CTGCAGTTACAAATGCATAAATAATGTTTTGATATTTAAAACATGAAATGTTGAGTACTGATATTTGAAATTATTAAAAAAATTAAAAGATACTTTAAATGTGAAATTAAAACCGCCAGTAGATGGCAGCAAGTCACTGTTAAGTGAGTCATTGCGATTGAACCGAATTCATTTACACGGTTGATTCATTCAGAAACAAAACAAAGTCATGTTGCTCAGAGAAGCAAAACAGTACTGTGGCTGTGTTTGGAATGTTTTTTTTGTTGGCGAAATAGCACAGAAATAGCGCAAAAACAGCCAATATGGTGTTTAAAACGTAAGTCTCTTGATATTAACTTATTGTTTATTGAACTGTTGTATAAAATAAATATCAAATTTATAACCATGCTGATTTTTACTCTTCGTGTGATATTGATTAACTATATGAATTGATATAAATATATACATTTTCTGCCTCCTTATCTTGAAGTATGTGATCATTGTTAATGCATATTAATAGACTGAATCATGCAGTGAAAGAGCGCACTATAAATGCGCATGCGCACTAAATCCTGTGTTGGTCTAACCCAGGGGTAGGCAAGTTCGGTCCTAGAAAGCCGCAGTCCTGCAGAGTTCAGCTCCAACCCTAATCAAACACACCTGAACAATCTAATCAATGTCTTTAGGATTACTAAGGCTGTAGGCAGGTGAGTTTTTTTTTCAGGGTTGGAGCTGAACTCTGCAGGACTGCGGCTCTCTAGGACCAAACTTGCCTACCCCTGGTCTAACCAGATTTCATCACGTCGCGTATGCACGCCTCTGTAGGTGTGTTTTGTTTAGCTTTTGCAATATACTCGATAATGTCATGATGTCTAATGAGTTCAGTATTTGCACTAAACCTGCACAGATTTGGCCTGCATGAACTTCCCCAAGAAATTAATGAGTGAACATAATTTATGAAAAGTAACCCGCCAAATTGGCTAGTGATTTGACAGCGTGACCCGCCACAGCTGATTTTTACCCGCATTTGGCGGGTTGGCAGGTGTTAATTTCAAACCCTGGTCGTAGCAATACGAGATTAATTATCGTAATATTTGAGAATATTACGTGGTAGCATATATCACGTAAATAAATTTAATTAATGTGAAAATTCCACTCTGCAAAAAACGACTGTGGCATCCAACCTTTCATTCTTCACAAGTATTTAACATTGAAAACTGTGATAAAAACGTTTATTGTACTGTTTCTTTCAGCATGCCTTCTGATCATTCACGTTTCTTTCATGCTAACGAAAGAGAAAAAGATGATTGATTCACGTGCTGCTTGACATCAGGCAAAGCAATCTATCACACCAGTTTAAAGAGCATAAAATCACATTTATTGTTTATATTTCGAAATAAAATGGACAGAATTTGAAAGCTGAGACTGTGGCAACGTCTCCAAGATGCTTCAAGAAACCAACCTGCAAAGCTCTCTGAAAAATCGAGGGCAAAAGCTTCTTTAAACGCAAAGGATGGTCACACCAAATGTTGATTTAATTTAGTTAATAGAAGTTAATTGATAAAGAAAATGTATTTATAACATTATTTTTGATGGCATCCTCATTTTACAGCATTTTTACACAACTGCCTAAAACTTTTAACAGTACTGTAGCTTTGTAGGTAGGTCTCTTGAAGCATCTTGGAGACGTTGCCACAGTTCTTCTGGATTTAGTCTGTCTCAGTTTGTTCTGTTTCTTCATGTCATTCCAGACAGACTGGATGATGGTGAGATCAGATCTCTGTGTGGAGCACTGGCTGTTGTCAGACTCCTTGTGCAAAAAAGAATCTCACTGGATTATTACAATTAATTATAAAATTAATGTTTGGAAATGCAAACTGATATTTCCTACTGACACACTACAGCAAAAGATAGAAATAGTCAAGTCAAGTCAAGTCACCTTTATTTGTATAGCGCTTTATACAATACTGGTTGTGTCAAAGCAGCTTTACAGAGTCAAACAGGAAAATAGTTTGTCAGTAATGCAAGAAGACAATAACTATCCTTTTCTATTTTCGTGCTGTGCTATCCTAGACTCAGCTTGTCGTGATCACAATCAGTGCTCGTGGTGACTGGGACTGCACCTGTTCCCTCTTCACGCTGATTTTCCTCTCTATTTCTCTCTGCGTGTTACAAGGTCTTTTGCCAGATTATTGTGCTTTTATGTCAGTCTCTTGGCTCTCTATTCCATCATTTGTAAGGTTTAGTCGAGTCCAGCCCTGGATTGCCTAGTCATGTCCTGTCGTGTGTCTAACCTGGATTTCTGCCCAGTCTCCCAGTCACCCACTGCTAGCAGTTCGCTCTTCTCCGGACACTGTCCTCGGGTCTGTGCAGTCAGAGAGGTAGTTGCTCCTCGTCCTGCAGCCCGGGGTGGCGCCCCGAACTCGCTAGTCAAGTCAACACTTATGTTCCAGTGCTCCTGTGTTAAAGTCCAGTTCTGCGACCGCCGAATACGGCCAGTGATCGGCAGACTGCCTAAGTTGGTTTTGTGGACAATAAATCCTCTGTTTGACTTGCCTTTGCTTCTGGGTCCTTTTATCGTGACAGAATAATCTGACCAAAGGATGGACCCAGCGAAGGAGACTCCAATTCATTCAGCAGTGGAGCTGCAGGGCTCAATGCTGGGCCGACACGAGGAGGAACTCGCCGCCGCCGCCAGGTACACCGTGGAGAGCCTCTTAGCCCAGGTGACGGACTTAACTAATCTACTGCAAAACCTGCACCCTGATGGTCTTGTCTCAGCCATATACTTCTCCAGAACCACGCATAAACAATCCTCCTTGCTATTCTGGACAGCCCACGGAGTGCCGAGCCTTTTTGACGCAGTGCGAGGTGGTCTTTTCCCTCCAACCTACTACATATGCCGAGGACCACTCCAGGGTAGCCTTTGTGCTCTCTCTCCTGACTGGGCGGGCTCATGACTGGGGAATGGCAGTATGGGAGTCAGAAGCAGACTGCTGTGAGCAATTTTCTTCATTTAAGGAGGAGATGATAAAGGTATTCGACCACTCCGTTTATGATCTGGAGGCGTCTCGGCAACTAGCTACTCTTTGCCAGGGTAGGCGATCTGCTGTCGATTATGCAGTCGAATTCCGCACTCTAGCGGCCACTTGTGAGTGGAACGAGCCAGCCCTCACTGCCCGCTTCTTGGAGGGTCTTTCTGGGGAGATAAGGGAGGAGATTCTCGCTCATGATCGACCAACCCGCCTGGACCAGCTTGGTGGAACTTGCTATCTGGATCGATAAGCGATTTGAGATGCGTCGTCGTGCCCGCACCTCCGCCCCTGAGCAACAGGTGGTTTCGTCAGCCACCCCACCTCCAGTTGTGACCTCATTAGAACCCGAGCCTATGCAGCTAGGCGGGCTCCATATCTCTGCTGTGGAGCGTCAGTGCCGCATTAAGGTGGGGTCTCTGCATGTAGTGTGGTGCTCACGGGCATTTCGCCGCAAGATGTCCAGTAAAAGAGAAGGCTCGCCAGTAGATCGGGGAGTACTGGCGAGCGCGACTACCTTTTCCCCATCTCCCAAGACTCACACCTCACTCAAAGCCTGCTTACGCTGTGGGGGCTCCACTTTTCCCTGTGCAGCCCCCTTTCCCTGTGCGGCCACTTTTCCCTGTGCGGAATCAGCCCCTTGTTGATTCTGGAGCTGAGGGGAACTTCATGGATGAGAACTGGGCAATCGATCATGACATTCCTTTTAAAGTATTAAGTGACCCCCCTACCATCTATGCCCTAGATTGGTCGCATCCTCTCCAGGATCCTTCGAGCCACTGTTCTGGTGAGTCTCACCATTTCCGGCAATCACCAAGAGACAATTTCATTTTTTATTTTTCGTTCTCCCCTAACGCCTATCGTTTTAGGGCACCCCTAGTTAGCATAATCCTCAAATTAACTGACTAGAGGGGACCATTATGTCCTGGAGCTTATCTTGCCATGTTAAGTGTCTTGTCTCGGCTGTGCCTGTTGTGTCCTCTGTTTCTGTGTTTCAGGAGGAACCCGGCAATTTGTCTGGTGTCCCGAAGGAGTACCACAATCTGCGAGTGGTTTTCAGTCGTTCCCGGTCTGCTTCTCTCCCTCCCCATCAGCCGTATGACTGCAGCATCGATCTTGTCCCGGGTAGCACACCACTCCGTGGTAGACTTTACTCCTTGTCCGCACCCGAAGCGCTTGAGAGATACCTTGCAGATTCTCTGGCCGCCGGTACCATTGTTCCCTCCTCCTTTCCCGCCGGTTTTTCTTCGTGAAAAAGAAGGATAGTCCCTGCATAGATTATCGTGGGTTGAACGACGTTACGATTAAGAACCGGTACCCATTGCCACTTATGTCATCGGCCTTCGAGAGCTTGCAGGGAGCAAGGATTTTCACGAAATTAGACCTTCGCAATGCGTATCATTTGGTGCGCATCAAGGAGGGAGATGAGTGGAAGACAGCTTTCAATACGCCCCTAGGCCACTTTGAATACCGGGTTCTACCGTTCGGACTTGTCAACGCTCCTACTGTGTTCCAAGCGCTCGTGAACTATGTCCTTAGGGACATGCTTAATGTTTTAGTTTTCGTGTAGCTACACAATCTAATTTTTTCACCCTCACCCCGGGAACACGTTCAGCATGTGCGTCGAGTACTACAATGCCTGTTAGAGAATCACCTTTTTGTTAAGGCAGAGAAATGCATTTTTCATGCTGATTCTGTTACGTTTTTGGGTTTTGTCGCGTCCGCCAAGGGCATTAGTATGGATCCGGCCAAGGTGCGCACCGTCATCGATTGGCCCATCCCTGACTCACGCCCCTCACTCCAGAGGTTTTTGGGGTTTGCAAACTTTTATCGTCGCTTTATTCGGAACTTTAGCCAACACCCTTACCGCCCTCACTTCGACCAAGTCCTGTTTCTTGTGGTCTGAAGCAGCTCAAGTAGCCTTCGACCACTTTAAGAGATTATTTACGACCGCTCCTATTCTTATCACTCCCGATGCTACAAGACAATTCATAGTGGAGGTTGACGCGTCTAATGTTGGAGTGGGAGCGGTGCTATCCACCCATGCGCTTTTTTTTCTCACCGTCTCTCGCCTGCAGAACGTAATTATAATGTAGGTAATCGCAAACTCCTGGCCATTCGGTTGGCACTAGGCGAGTGGCGCTACTGGCTAGAGTGGGCCGTCCATCCATTCGTTGTTTGGACAGATCGTTGTAATCTCTAATATATTCGATCAGCTATCGACATCGGCTAGATTAAATGCTATACAGGCACAATGGGCTCTCTTTTTTGCACGATTTGACTTTACCATTTCCTACAGACCAGGCTCTAAAAATACTTAACCCGATGCACTGTCTCGTCAGTTCGGTTCCTCGGAGGACGGCTCATCCACAGAGACCATCCTGCCCGACGGTCGTGTGGTCGGGGTCATGGTCTGGGGATTCGAACGGCAGGTAAATCCCTCAAGGGTGTCCGACAGGTAGATTATTCGTTCTCAAGTCCATGCGTCCAGCTGTACTCCGCTGGAGTCATGCCTCTAGGCTCGCTGCGCATGCCGGAGTGAGGGGAGCTCAGGCTACTGTCCATCAGCGTTTTTGGTGGCCCGCTTTAGTTCGTGATGTACGCCGTTTTGTAGCCTCGTGTCCAGTTTGTGCCCAGTCTAAGTCTAGCAATTCCCCGCCTGCAGGCCTGCTTCGCCCTCTTCCTATTCCATCTTGTCCTTGGTCGCACATCGCTTTGGATTTCGTTACAGGTCTGGAGCCTATCTAGTGGCAGAAAATTACAGTTTTAACGTAGCAGTCTATTCAAGCCACGGAATAAAATAATAGAAAATGTAATTTTGAGTTTATATTTCAAAATTCTGATTTTTTTTCTTGCAGTTCCGAGATTATATCTCACAATTCTGGTAAGAAAAATCAACTCGTCATTCTTTCTTGTTAGTTTATAATCCCAGACTTTTGGCTTTTTTTCCTCAGAATTTACAAACTTGCATTTGTTGAGTTGAATCAAGTTATAAAGTCCGAACTAGGAGATATAAACTTGCATTTGCAAGAAAAAAAGGTCAGAATTGTGAAATAAAATAGTTAAATGTTATGTAAAATGTTATAGGTTTAAATAATATTTCATGCATGTATTTCAACTGTAGGGCTAATACAATATGTTCCCTATATGAATATTATATAGACCTATTGTTTAAATCAAATGTATGCTTTAAAAGTAGGGTAATCATAGCAGGTTTCATCCAAAGTTTGTCCGTTTAAAGGTCTGCGTTTAGCTTCAACTCTAACACGCTTCTCTGAGCCTCCTTCATCTCCTTTGCCTCCACTGGTCCCGTCCAGCCCTCCTTCGTCTCCAGAGCACCCTCAAGTGCCCGCTCCTCCAGAGCGCCCTCAAGTGCCCGCTCCTCCAGAGCGACCACAAAGATACCTAATTTTCCCTAAGAAGATTTTTTGGGGGGGCCATATGCCCGTGGCCGTGGTGGCCGAGCCGGCTAAGGCCACGGAGGATCCGCCATGGCCTTCTAAGTCCCCTGATCCGCCATGGCCTCCTGAGTCCGCTGATCCACCATGGCCTCCTGAGTCCCCTGCTCCGCCATGGCAACCTGAACTACCTGCTCCGCCATGGCAACCCGTACTATCTGCTCCGCCATGGCCTCCTGAACTCCCTGATCCGTCCCTGGAGGCCTCCCGTGTCTCCGTCCTGTACCAGCCTCCAGGGCGCCCACCCCTCCTCCCCGGTGAAATTGTTACGACGGGGGAGTACTGTCACAGATCGGCCAGACTCAGCCACCTCCCAATTACAGCGAACACCATCACCTGAGTACTGATCACACGCACCTGCCACAAATCTGCAATCATTATCAGCTCCCCTTTAAAAGCACACACCTCACTTCACTCCAGTGTCTGGTCTCGTTTCAACAAAGTGGACTCTCTCTCTATGCTATCCGTGAGATACATTGAAAGACTTACCTGCCTGTTATACTTACCTCCTGTGTTTCCTCCAGTTTGTTCTCCTGTGTTCCATTCCCTAGTCCGTTCCAGTCATCAGCGCCGTGGAAACTCTGTGTACTCATCAGCTGAGGTGTGTGCAGTCCTCTGTTTCCCTTCCATGATCTCCTGTGAGGACCAAATACGATCTTACTCTCCTCATCTTCCCTAAGGACTGATATTAAGCTCAAATACTAACCTGCCTGTACCATCTGCATCTCTTGCTGAAAATAAACATCATTGTATTTTTCTAATCCTCTGTGTGAGTCTCCTTCTGTAACATCATGTGTCTAACCTGGATTTCTGCCCAGTCTCCCAGTCACCTGCTGCCAGCAGTTCGCTCTCCTCCGGATGCTGTCCTCCGGTTCGTGCAGTCAGAGAGGTAGTTGCTCCTCGCCCTGCAACCTGGGGTGGCACCCCGAACTCGCAAGTCAAGTCAATCCTTATGTTCCAGTGCTCCTGTGTTAAAGCTCAGTTCTGTGACTGCCAAATACAGCCACTGATCGGCAGACTGCCTAAGTTTGTTTTTGTGGACAATAAATCCTCTGTTTGACTTGCCTTTGCTTCTGGGTCCTTTTATCTTGACATCCTTTATGTGTTCTTTTGCTTGAGTATTGTAAAATCGCTTGACTATTTTAACTGGCAAGGCTTTAAAACATGTACAAAGCATAATCTGTCATGAGGACGCAGCAGTGGCCGATCGGAGCAGTCACAGATCAGTCATCTGTCCCGAGCATCTTTCGTTCCGAGATTATATCTCACAATTCTGGTAAGAAAAATCAACTCGTCATTCTTTCTTGTTAGTTTATAATCCCAGACTTTTGGCTTTTTTTCCTCAGAATTTACAAACTTGCATTTGTTGAGTTGAATCAAGTTATAAAGTCCGAACTAGGAGATATAAACTTGCATTTGCAAGAAAAAAAGGTCAGAATTGTGAAATAAAATAGTTAAATTTTATGTAAAATGTTATAGGTTTAAATAATATTTCATGCATGTATTTCAACTGTAGGGCTAATACAATATGTTCCCTATATGAATATTATATAGACCTATTGTTTAAATCAAATGTATGCTTTAAAAGTAGGGTAATCATAGCAGGTTTCATCCAAAGTTTGTCCGTTTAAAGGTCTGCGTTTAGCTTCAACTCTAACACGCTTCTCTGACTTGCCTTTGCTTCTGGGTCCTTTTATCTTGACATCCTTTATGTGTTCTTTTGCTTGAGTATTGTAAAATCGCTTGACTATTTTAACTGGCAAGGCTTTAAAACATGTACAAAGCATAATCTGTCATGAGGACGCAGCAGTGGCCGATCGGAGCAGTCACAGATCAGTCATCTGTCCCGAGCATCTTTCACACTGGCCTCTGGACATCAGACAGTCATTATTGTGGAGACCTGAACTGGTAATGATCAGATATGTCGATTTAGTTTAGCAATACAAGGAAAACACTGGCATTTATTTGTAAATTTTACCAAATGAAAATGAAAGTAAGTGAGGAAGTTGAAAGATTTCTTATCCTGTGGGGTCTAGTGGACTGCAGTTGTCCTCTAGAGGGGGCATTTTTGCTCAGACAATGTAAGTCTATGAGAAGTTTTTGATTTTTGATAATTATTTAGACGAAAACTATAAGTCTGATCAAGATATAGCAACAAACTAATGTTGATTTTGTAGTTCTGGATGAGTTTGCCAAATTTGAGATGCATTTGATTAGTGATATGTTGTTCGGACAGGAATCAGAGTTTTGGAACTAATTTTTTGAGTGAACGTTTTTGTTCATTGTCACAACAGGACGCATATTGCTCATTCACTCAAGTCCCCCCCCACCCCCCGAAGCTATATTTTGAAGCTTGTGACTTGTTTGGTGTCTTTTCCTGCATGTAAAGAAGACCATGAGCATGAGCCAGTGAAGGAGCAAGAAGTTGTGTTTGATTAACTATTTCCTTCATGAATGAAATAAATCAGTTGTTACAAATTAATAAGGACATTATTTATAGATTTGTAGACAAATTTTAATAAAGTATAAAAGGCTTGTTGCATTTTGGTACAAATTAATGTGATTTCTCACTCATAACACATAAAAATGGTCATTTGTCACCACCTGCTGATGTAAATAATGAAATATTACTGAACAAATCAGTGAATAAAACAGAATAAATCTTTTGGTAAAGGGATTCAAATGAATCCCACTCAATTAAGTAGAGAGTGCAACACCAGGTAATAATAGATAATAGATAATAGATAATTTGGAACAAGGAATTTTTGTAACTCTTCAGACAAATGACTGATCTTATTGTACGCATGTTGTACGCTTCACATGCCATCAGTTAACAACAGAAGGGAAGCAAAAGTATAGGTGTGTTGAAGCAGTGCTGCGCAGACCAATTGTTGTATGACATCAGAGATTCAAAAGCATAAGGAGCCATCTACTCTCTATAGCTCTCACAATACTTTGATGTCATGCACAGAGCTGCTTCGTGTGTATTTGGTTGTTCATATAATTCTGTTGCAGACATTTAACAAGTGCTAGTTAGTAGTTGTAATGTTCAGAGTCCATCGAAGTTGAAAAGAAAGTCCAAAATGGTACAAATAACAAAAAGGTGTTTATTTTAACAAAACAAACACAGGTAATCTACAGATGAGTGAGCAACATAACATTGTGTAGATGAACTGAAACACAAGAGGAACTTAAATACACAGTAATAACAAACTAAATGACAAACAGGTTTGATGATTGAATGAAGTGTCACAGCAACTAAAGACTGGAGAAATGAAACAAAGGAAACAGGAAAAAGTCCATGAAAATTAAACTGTAACTGAATGAAATGAAACTGAACGTGATTGTTTCACATACTATTTAAGATGGATAGTACGCACATTGGGATGCAAGGCTTGTCATTCTCACAAGGCTTTACACATTTACACATTTGCTTACACAATCATTTAGGATCAGTCTAGATTGAATTGGCATTTGGTCTGATTTCAGACTAGAGGTTTCCTATTGAGTACCCCTAGTCTATGTGGACAGTTGCATATTTCGAAAATTATGGCCACCATTGGCCATTATCTTTCAGCAGCTATTATACATGGTTAACAAAGAATGACTGGAATAAAACTTTGTGGGCCCCAGAGGTCTGTAAGAAATGTAAAACTAATCGTCATAAAAATGTTATATATATATACAGTATATATATATATATATATATATATATATATATAAAGGACCTAGTACTCTGTAGGTCGATGATCATCAAAACATTTTACAATTTGTATTTAGATGGCTATAGGAGGGTCATTTAAAATATAGGAGTGACCCAGTGCACTTTAAAATCCTGTAATTCCTTAACAGAACTTCGGAACTTTACAAAATTAAGCACATATGACATATGATTACATATAAAAAGCAAGCAAATCAGGCAATTTACAAGTGCATTACTACAGTAATATTTAACATGTCTGGCTGACCTTCTGTGCACAAGACTTTTCTAATCCCGTGATGCAAAATCTTTGCAGTAAATCTACTTCACCTATCTCTAGTAACCTAGAGGCACAGAGGAATTTCATTGGTAGACACCAGATAGGTTCAAAATGACACCTTGTTTTACACTAGATTGATCTTAAGAAAAAAGTGGATACTGTGTAGAGAATTAAAGCTGCAACAACTAATTGATTAAATGCGATGCAACAGCAAAATCCATCCATCCATCATGTACACCTGTACCAATAATTAAAAAGCTCAGGTGCAAAATATACATGCCTATATTGAATGAGTAAAATGTATCTCTCATATGATCTATTGATCAACAAAGAATGGTTTGGTTTTAATAGTGTTTGTGAATTTCATTTTAATTGAATGCATTTGTTTCACTCTGCAGGAGAAGAAATGAGAAGAAACGGGTGAGCATATGATTTCAACAAGCAGCCACAGCCATAGGCAGTTTCACTATAGGGCAGACTGTCACTATGGTGCCTCTACTCCAGCTCTTTATTTTAATGCCTCTAATTAAGCCAATCACAAATCATGTCCATGGAAACTCTCTTTCACCTCTGACCACTCATTCAAATCACAGCCTGTTTTCTCAGACTGATGTGCTTGTCAGAAAAACTGATCATAGATTGGAAGCCAATGCTGCGTTAGAAACTGTAAAACCATTTCTTCATGGCTTCTATCAGAAAAGTGTCCTTAAATCAAGTGGAGATTCAAATGAATGGACTGAAAGCAGAAACACTGAGGACACATTGTCAGAAAAAACATCACATACTGATATAACTGGGTCAAGAAGTAAATTTTTATTATCACCCAAAAACAGAGTCAAAAGAGGTTCTACCCAAAATGTCATACCACAAAATGCCGCTGTAAAAGAAAAGGAGACTGCTGATAATACAGAATTCGAAGAGAAAGACATGTCAACAGTTGGGCCAGGTGATATGTTAAAACCCAGAGAAACTGGCTTTGTTCGGTCATCAACAGAGGCTTTAACATCTCTTGATAAACAGCATACCCAGTACAGACTGCAAGTTCAGACTGCTCATAGTGTGCTGGCTAGTTTGGCCACAGTACAAATTAATCCAACAATCAACTCTTCACTCCAGACCAGCCCTTCTACAACTTCACCACCTAATGAAAACGCTGTAGACACTACAAGTAGGATGATCCAATTGGATGCCAACAGGACTCGACTGGAAATAGGTAAAGTACAGATGCAGTAATGCTGCATTCACCTAAATAACTGAAATAAAAAATGGCATCTCTGAGATTATACTCTTTTACTCAATCACTTGTACCTATAGCAAAAATCTGCGAAATCAGCTAAATTGTTCACTATATTATTTTACTATGGTTTTTACTATGATAAACTTTGATTTTGATGTTACTGTACCATTCCTCAAATTTTCCTTTGTTTATCAGGTAGGTTGGGGACAACCACTACAGCTAAAATTCAGCCAAAAAGACAGTTTACCACTTTACAATCACATATTGAAACCACCTCTTTTAGCACAAGTACAACCAATCTACAACTAGAGGCACCATCACCAGGAGTGGACATCATCACTTCCAAAAATTCACAACCAGAAAGCACTTCACAGTCAACAAAATCAGCAAAAATACCCAATGACCATTCAAAGGAGCCAGGAACTAAAGGAACAGTGACCGATATAAAGAACACTAAAGGTATGAATTTTCTGAAAAAAAAACAATGGTCACACTTTAGTTTGGGGACCAATTCTCACTATTATCTAACAATTAACTACAAACTTTGCCTCAGTAAACTCCTAATTTGCTGCTTATTAATAGTTAGTTGTCACATTCTTTTGGTTTATGGTCATGTTTTCATGTCTTGTGCTACCCTGTTTTGTGTCAAGGAATTTTATGTTGAAGTGTATTTTCTGTTCCCTTTGTTTCTATGTTCACTTCTTGTGTTTAGTTCTTGTTACTTTGCCTGGCTTGTTATGGTGCTTTTCCACTGCATGGTACGGCACGACACGGCACGGCTCGCTTTTGGGGGGTTTTCCACTGTGTACAGTACCTGGTACTTGGTACTTTTTTCAGAACCACCTTGGAAGAGGTTCCAAGCGAGCCGTACCGTTACCAGAATGTGACGTGTAAACCCTGCTGATCACTGATTGGCCGGAGAGAATCGTCACTACTTGTGTCATTGAACATGCGACATGAGACACTAGACCAGCTAGATTAAATCAGTACAGCCAGCGAGGATCGAATGCGTTTATGATAATTTTACAGCAGTAGAGGTGGTGCAACTATAACGACATGTCTATAATCCTGCCCACCCTAAAGTGGTACTAAACTGCAGTGGAAATACAAACCGAACCGAGCCGTACCGTGCCGAGCCGAGCCGAGCCATACCATGCAGTGGAAAAGCTCCATTCATTACCCTTGTTAGTTGTCATAGTGATTCATTAACTCCTCCCCCCTTGTTAGTCTTGTTAACCTTTGTATAAATAGCTCTCATGTTTCCTTTGTCTTTTGTCTAGCTTTGTTTGTGTAGTCCACTGTTTGGTGAGTTTGTTCATGTTCATGCTCATTCAATATTGTTCATGTTTGTTCATTCAACTTTCCTTCAGTGGACGTTCATTACAGAAAATACACTTCAACATGAAAGTCTTTGACACAAAACAGGGTAGCACAAGACATGAAATATAATCCATAAACCATGTAACATTAATATGGTAGTTGTTAAGTTTAGGTATGGGGTAGGATTTAGGGATCTAAAATATGGTCATGTAGAATAAGGCATTAATATGTGGTTTATAAGTACTAATAAACAGCCAAATATGCTAGTAATATGCATGCTAATATGTAGGGGTGTAACGGTTCAGATTGCTCACGGTTCGGTTTATTTTCACAGTTTTAGGGTCACGGTTCGGTTTGAAAAAAGTACTATGGTCAAATAAAAATAAAGAAAATAACAAATAATCAAATTAAATGCAAAAATAAATACAATAGAGCAAAGATACAAATAAAATAAAGTGTGTTTCAGGTGTTTTAACAGTACAGAAATCTAAAAGTAAACAAATATAAAATAACAGTGCATAGTTTACATTAAAATTAAAGACCAATCCTTGCTGAAGTCACAAAGCCTATTCAGTCAAGAGAAGTGAGTGATTTCCTTGTCTTTTGTTGTTTAACATTAAAAACACAGACAGCAGGAATAGACTGCTGTTCCTTTAAGACATAATTCACAGATCCAGAACACTGATACTGGTACACATGCGTTGTCTTTCTCCACTGTTTACATTCACTTAAGACAAGACCTCAAGCGCGGGGCCTGGTGCGTCCGCATCAGTTGCACCCTCCTAAGGACGGCCCTGTACTAGAGTGCATACGGCATTCCGTGTTGTTTGTCCACGTTTTTTGATCATTGCTGTTGAAATGTGGGAAGCCAACAGGTCTGTTTTACGCGTTATTTTCAACAAACCATATTCTACATGTGCATCAACAGATTTGAGATGAGCCGTGGTGCAAGTGGGGTCAACCTCAAGTGGGCCGGGGGTGGACAGCGGTACATATTGAGAGTACCGCAATACGTACCGTGGGTGGTGTATCGCGGTTTTTCTGTTCGGTTTGAATATCATTAAACCCCAAATGTTCTATATTATTTTATTAAAAATGGTCTGAAAATTATTGTAGATTTTTGTATGTACTTATGTTTATATTTATTAATTTGGCAGACAGGTATGCATTTTTAGCAGTTCTTGCTTTTCCTGCTAGCACATTGCACTATTGTTTGAGCTAACGAAAGCCTATGTGCTTGGTTTATGGTATGCATTTTACACAATTACCTCAAAAATATATCCTCTCCCTCTTTTGCCTTTCACAGGTATACCAACTTTTCTAAGGACTGCCTCCCCTCTCCCGACTGGACATGGCCATTTTGTATTCTCAGAAAATGATGGAAGATTTACAGAGAAAGACCAGTCAGTCTCACAAGGAATAGCCCCATCTCTGAAGTCAAACCTTGCTTCTCCAACCTATGCCCTACCCAAGGACCTCTGTGCTACTGGTGTGGGTCCCTGTGTTTTTTCCAAAGATCAAAACAATGATGAAAAATATGGCGCAACAAATGGGAGCTTTTTAGTGTGGGCGGACTTAAAACGCACACTTTCATTTGCATGGGAGCTGCATGTATTTGGTTCTGCTGCCCTTTTCCTTCTACTGACTGCTGGCTCAGCCCTTGGTTTAGCATTATCTCCCAGCTTGTACTGCCCTCACCATGGTGAATTGGTACTCACCAATAGCCTCTTGCTAGTAGTAGGTGCAGTTAGAGCAGGCCACTTCTTGCTCGACCCATATGGGACTCGGCTCCTCCTGCCACTTCCTGTCATAATAGCTTTATACACACTGCCGTTACCACTGTTAATCCTGGCACAGGCTGCATTAGTGATACTGGTACTAAAAGAGACAGGGGTAACCTGGATTCCACCAACACTTCAGCGCCCCCCTCTGTTAGGAGTGTTAGCTGTTTTCCAATGCACTCTCCTTCTTGCTGCAGACTTACTTTCCCCTGCACTTTCTCCTGCTGTTCCCATTGTACTACAGAGTCTCACGCTGACTGCAGGCCTCGTACTGTGTTTAGGCTACCTTTTATTGGCACTGCCGTGCTTCTCTCACACACATAAAGCTCGGAGAGGAAATAAGGGAAAGGGCGAAGGAAAGGTGTGGGTTTTAGCACGAGTACTGGCAGTGTGTGCTTTTCTTGGGGCGCTGTGCTGTCTGTTACACATTTATGCCTGCTTGTGGCTGTATGGACTACTAGGAGACTGGAGGCGCTTCCGTTGGGCATGGTGGCTCTGTCAGTTCTGGGTACGACTGTTGGAGCTTGCCTGGGCTTTCTGCCTGCTTCTGATGTCTTCCTGGGTCTTTTGGAGACCCAACCAAGGCCACATATGTAGAGCACCAAGACAGGAAGGAGCTGCCACAGAAAGCTTGCCCTCACCCTCTCAATCATCAAACTCTACCAGCAGACATACGTGCTGGGCAAAGATTGTGCAGAGCCTCAAGGTAAAGCAACAAAGGAAATCTGAAAGCAATGGGATTGGAGGGTCAAATAGTGGTGCAGTGGCTGGAGAGTTGCCTAATAACTGGACAGGAGAGGAGCTATCAGGGGCAGACATTAGCAAGAGCCTCATACGAAATCGTGATCCACTCAAAGACAGCAATAATTTATGCAATCTGAAAAGCTTTGCAGGGGGCTCTGCAGGTTCACTGCTAAGACTGCAGGCACTTGCTCAGCCATCTCAGCGCCTCAGTAGTAGTTTGGACAGGGACAAGGAGTCAGCCATCTCACTCTGCGATTTTGACCTGCGCCCTCCAACCCCAATTGACCTCAGCCGCAGTATTGATGAGGCACTTCATCGTGAGCATTTATTAAGGGGTGAAAGTTTGTTCCAGCCACTGCGACCACCATCACTTCCTCCATCTCCACACCTGTGGATGCGACAGAATAGTGAGCCCCAAATCACACTGTCACTGAGCAGTGACGAACACACATTGTTCACAGAGTCCTCCGCAAGTCTGGATCGCTCCATTCCTAGTGCTGTGCCCAGCCGACAAGTCACAGCCCCCCCTACACCCACTCATCAGGACTTCCGTTGGGTCTCTAAGTCACAAGTGCCTTCCTCTTTGTCCTGCCCGGTCTCACTGCACCATTCCCCAAGCACAAGCCATGCCCTTGTGCCCAACGCAGAAAACACAAGGCCGTTTCTAACCCCTGACCTTGAAAGTTCACAATCAAATACCAGAGGGGGAAAAAGTTACCTGAAAGTCACTCGAAATGATGACTCAGCCAGTGTCAGCAGTGACATTATTGACCTTTGAACATGTTATGACTCACAGCAACTCCAGATTATAACACATTCACATTCTCCAAAAAGTAGAGATTATACATTTAATCATGACTTGCAGTCTAATTGTTGTATCATGGCACTTAAAGAGAAGAGGAACACATTGTTGCAAGTGGCTCATTCTCATTTTTTCTTTCAAAAGTCTTGTTTACAGTAATGCATATACTATAGATGTCTATGGGTCTTCCTTATCTGACACACTCAGTTCAGTTCAAGGAGCTCTCACCTAACGAGCTGATGATCTGAATCAGGTGTGTTAAATAAGGGAGACATGCAAAATGTGCAGAGCAGGTGGTCCCCAGGACCAGGATTAAGAACCACTGCTATGGGGCAAGGCATATCAGAGACAGAAATCTGAAACTTATATTTGCTATTTTTAATGTTTTCGTACAAAATGTGTGTTATTTGATCTGTATACCTATCTTTTTAGTAGTGGGACCACTGTTTTAGGCAAATAAACCTCTAGCTGTGAACTAATGTAATTTCTGTTGGTGTAGTTGCTCCATGTAAAATACTTTGGCAAATAGTTAGTAGTCTCCTGTTGTTACATGAAATATTTAAGTTATGTGGCTGTACTTTGCAGTAGTGTGTGTATTTTAATGTTTATTCTGGTGCAGTGCCTTGTCCCATAGAGCAGCCTAGGTGCTACCTTTGCATGCATTGAAGAGCTGTGTCTAGATAGTGCCAGAACAGAAATTATACTGGATGTGCCAGAACTTGACTTTCTGGCCCATGCTTTGTACTTCCAGTTTATTCCTGCAATGCAGCATACCTAAAACATACTAAACTATTCTCACAAGTGGATTTTTGTTTAGTAAAATCATTTTGATATACAGGACTTGTCAGCATAGCAGACCAGAACTTTGTTTGTTAGTATATTCAGCAGTTTAGTCAAAAACTCATCACTACTTTATTCGATACAGTAGAACTCTTATGTGAACAATTAATTATAAAAAGCTGTGAGTATAACTTAAACAGATTATGTATATACTATATTTTTGTTTGTAAATTATGATGTATTCTGATTACATTTAATGCATTTACTGTGAATGACAATCTTCCCTACTGCAAAAATATACTGATTCTGGCAGAAAAAGGACTAAAAATACACTGTCTCCAGGCATATCAACAGGTACACATCCTGAGAAATGTTAATGTGCACCATTAGAGTGTGACATGAAAGGAAAGTGCTTTGTACATTTTCTTGTTGTTTAGTTGAAAGGTTTTGTTCCTCTCGCTTTCATTTTTAAAATGGCAAGGAACGGTTTTAATATCACTTTCAAATTTGCATATAAACAGGATGCTGTATACTGTAGCGATTCCAGTCAGAGTTTTTGTTTAGTGGTTTGAGTTGCCTATTCATTGTCAGTCACTAACAGTTATATCGATATATGATAATATTTTCATATTGCCCAGCCCTATAGTATTAAAAAAACAGTAATACTAGCAACAACATGCCACTCTGTTCCTTACTTCTACATCATTGTCTCTTTGACCCACCTAGTCACATTAGTGAATATGGGCACACAGGCAGGACAAATACTAGTGGATTAGAAGGATCTTAATGTTAGGAAAGTGGCTGTTTATTTTTCAACTATGTAAATGGCTCAGACTAGAGATTTTATTATTATACTAGGAGATATCATCCTCTGCAGCTCTACCATTGAATGAAGCATAACAGTGACCTTGGATCACATGTGCCTTAAGAATAAATCACATTATACCCATGGCGTTATTTAATTGCTGCCAGAGTTATATGATGATGTACGAATACTGACGCAGAGAGAATACCACAAACTTCAGTTTATACAAGAGCAGTGTATACTTAGCCAAGTGAAGAAATTGGCTGTGGGCCCCATGAATCATCACAACCTTTCACCCCGTAGCGATAGGCATGCCTGTATCAGTGTGAATCGTATAGTAGTTCAACTTGATTGCAGTTTTTTAAGCTTAAATGCTTTTACTGTATGTTGTGATGTGTGTAATTTTTCTACTGGTAATAGCTAGTGCTATGTAGCAACATGGAATCTACAGCAAATTTTTACCTGGGGACTAAAAAGTATTCTTTGATTCTTAATCAGTTTAATGGACCTCTGACTGAATAGAGTGAGACTGCAGAAAAAGAGTCTACATGGCTATATCATGACTCTGTGGTAACAACAGACCTTAATCAGGTTAAAGGCTGTAATAGGCTTAACAGTCTTTACAATGGCACTCACTATATAAAGTTCCTAGATTGTGTAATTTTGGCAACTCACAACTTTCAAAACTGTTTAATGGAGTTTTTGTCTACTGAAAGTTTAGTAACACTTTATTTTAAGGATCAGAAATTAGACAGTAATTAATGACTAATAACTGCATTTGTAAGTGACTAGTTATGGATTTGTATGCCAGTACAAGCTATTTATAAGGCATTTTTTGGTTGTTGTCTTATTTTTGTCTTATTGCCCCTTTATACTTGTGTCTGTCCTAACAATGTACCAATTAGCTAAAATAAAACAAAGTAATAGCTTGTATTGTGCAAATTACACACCTTATAAGTTCTCAGTACACTGTATGAATGTGTAGCTTATAAGTATGAAATATATAGAATGGGCATTTCAACACAGACATTTAATTTAGCTGAAAAAATTTTTATGTTACATAAAAGCACAGTCTTTCTAGCAGTTGTTCTATACTAACAAATGATTTTGAGAGATGAGAGCAGCCAGAGTTCTTACTAGAACCAGGAAGTATGACCATATTAGCCCGGTTCTGTCAACACTGCACTGGCTCCCTATTAAACATCGTATATATTTTAAAATCTTGCTTATTACTTATAAAGCCCTGAATGGTTTAGCACCTCAGTATTTGAATGAGTTCTTCTTGCATTATAGTCCTCCACGTCCGCTGCATTCTCAAAACGCTGGCAATTTGATAATACCTAGAATATCAAAATCAACTGCGGGTGGCAGATCCTTTTCCTGTTTGGCACCCAAACTCTGGAACAACCTACCTAACATTGTTCGGGAGGCAGACACACTCTGTCAGTTTAAATCTAGATTGAAGACCCATCTCTTTAACCTGGTTTACACATAACACACTAACAGATTTCTAATATTCAAATTCGTTAAAGGATTGTTAGGCTGCATTAATTAGGACAACCGGAACCGGGAACACTTCCCATAACACCCGATGTACTTGCAACATCGTTAGAAGAATGGCATCTACGCTAATATTAGTCTGTTTCTTTCTTATTCCGAGGTCACCGTAGCCACCAGATCCAGTCTTTATCAAGATCAGATAGTCACTGCAATCACCCGGATCCAGTACGTATTCAGACCAGATGGTGGATCAGCACCTAGAGATGACCTCTACAGCCCAGAGTTCTTACTAGAACCAGGAAGTATGACCATATTAGCCCGGTTCTGTCAACACTGCACTGGCTCCCTATTAAACATCGTATATATTTTAAAATCTTGCTTATTACTTATAAAGCCCTGAATGGTTTAGCACCTCAGTATTTGAATGAGTTCTTCTTGCATTATAGTCCTCCACGTCCGCTGCATTCTCAAAACGCTGGCAATTTGATAATACCTAGAATATCAAAATCAACTGCGGGTGGCAGATCCTTTTCCTGTTTGGCACCCAAACTCTGGAACAACCTACCTAACATTGTTCGGGAGGCAGACACACTCTGTCAGTTTAAATCTAGATTGAAGACCCATCTCTTTAACCTGGTTTACACATAACACACTAACAGATTTCTAATATTCAAATTCGTTAAAGGATTGTTAGGCTGCATTAATTAGGACAACCGGAACCGGGAACACTTCCCATAACACCCGATGTACTTGCAACATCGTTAGAAGAATGGCATCTACGCTAATATTAGTCTGTTTCTTTCTTATTCCGAGGTCACCGTAGCCACCAGATCCAGTCTTTATCAAGATCAGATAGTCACTGCAATCACCCGGATCCAGTACGTATTCAGACCAGATGGTGGATCAGCACCTAGAGATGACCTCTACAGCCCTGAATGTCAGCAGAGACCAGGACAACTAGATGAGCCCCAGAGACAGATCCACAGTGAGGACCTTGTCTCCTAGACGGCCTCCGGGACAAGACCACAGAAACCAGTTGAGTCCTCTGCACAATGTGACATTGCTGCAGCCTGGAATTGAACTGCTGGTTTCGTCTGGTCAGAGGAGAACTGGCCCCCCCAGCTGAGCCTGGTTTCTCCCAAGGTTTTTTCTCCATTCTGTCACCGATGGAGTTTTGGTTGCACAGATACTATTTAAACTGAACTGAGCTGGATGATGACATCACTGAATTCAATGATGAACTGCCTTTAACTGAACATTGAGTGTTTACTATTGTCATTTTGCATTAATGACACACTATTTTCCTAATTAATGCTGTACAGTTGCTTTGACACAATCTGTATTGTTAAAGGCGCTATATAAATAAAGGTGACTTGATTTATAACTGAAATTTCCCCTGAATTTATTGAAAGGTAACAAGCACATTTCTCACTAATAGATGCAATATTATTTCAGATTATGTTCCCTATTCTAAAGTAAACATTTGCTGTTTTCAAATAAGAAAAGAGACATGAAATATTGCAGTGAAGAATTCAGTCTTTGTTTTATGGTTCAACAAGAGAACAAAATACAGATGAGACACATCCACAGTTTATTGACAATTTTTTTTTCAGCACAAATGAATGATGATGGTCACAGAACAAGCCAAACATAAGCATTTTTCACACAGGATACTTCCTTTTCATGTCATGCAAAATCATACCCAGGGGGCCATTTTTATGTTTGTCAGCACGTCAAGTCCACTCGATTACTTTTAAGTTGTCTTTGATCCTGCTTTCTGTGCGGTTCCCCCTAAATCTCCACAATGTTGCCTTGCAGACTCCCTAGAATCTCTCAATATTTTGTGTGAGCACCTGTCCGAGGATCAACAAAAACCTCTTTATGGTTCACAGTTAGGTTATATCCAGCATCTCTGAGACAGTTATAGGCTCTCCACCCATCTGACACAACAGTGCTTCCTTGTCTAACATGCTTCTGGAGAATTGGCATGTGATGTTGAGCTAAAGATTGACAACTCTCACAATGGGTCTTCTGCACTCTTGCTTGACCCCAAGCATTCCAAACACCCATGACGTCCTGTTGCTCTGTCTTCCTCGGTTGTACTAAAAATGACAGAATTTAAGAATTTATTGTGTCATTCATTTTTACTATTAAGT